CAGCTTCCTCGTTTCTGTCTAGTGATGGAAGCTGCCGTCATCATTAAAACTGAAATTTTAAGCCTTCAGAAGAGTAAGGGGAGGAAAAGCATATCTAAGGTGACGCTTAGTCCACACTAATATGGACTTCCCAAAATATGGTTGCAGAAAGCTTTCTGAGTTGAAGATTTATTGCAATTTTGCTGCTGCAGCAAACGTAATGCCTGCAAGGTTTTGTTGGCCAAAAAAAAGAAAAGTACTAGGCCTTTTCTTTTAAGTTACAAACCATTTCCTCTCGAGTAGTGTCACACAAGAAAAAAAGTTATATATAGCAGTGTTTGGGCACTGTAGATAGGAAAATAAGGTTTGGGTTCCTGAAAATGAGTCTGTATGTCACCTTTTTTTTTTTGATCCTGAACTCCTGAGCCTTCTGAAAAAGAAGAATAGTATCTCATCAAACAGGGAAGACAGCTGCCTTCCAAGCCACATTTTGCCAGCATGCAAGAGCATGTTTTAACAGCCCATGGCAGTACTTGTGAGTGGTGGGTTTTGGTACATTTTTAAGCTTTTTATATTTTGCCCCCACATTAAAAATAAATAAATATAAAAGACAGGTTGGCCAATAAAAGTTCTTGAATGGCACAAAAAAGTCTTTAATCCGTGCAGAGCACCAGCTTTATTTTTAAAAAAAGACATCTTAGGAAACTCAAAATAAACTCCCTGATTCAAGAAAACAGTTCGTCACATGGACTACAAAAAAAATACATGATTGAGCTACTTTAGTGGTGCTAATGAATCTAGCCTTCTGTATGTAACATATTAAACATATAGCCATAGGAAAAAAAATAAGAATTTCTGTATGGTTGTGCAAGTCAGTTTGGTTATCTTGCTTCCAATAGATGTTTTTAAAGCAAAGACACTGTTAAAAACTAACAAATAAAGTATTTCTCGTGTGTAATTTAAAGCTCACCCCTTGTTCAGAAATTGCCTGTTCCATACTTTGTACGAGCGCAGTTACTTGCACTAGTTTTGGACGCTTCCCATTGTGTACCTGACTTTCCTGACACCTGGCATTCTTGGTATGAAATAAAAAAAATAACCTTATTTCCCCCCGTTAAAACACACTAATTAGAAAGAAGAGGAACAGTGGTGGCTTTTTTTTCTTTTCTGGGTTTTTTTGTCGTTTGCTGTTGTTTAACGTTACTATTTCTATGAAGACAAGGGGTCAATTCAACAAGCACGTTACATGTCATTCAAAGGTTTTTCTCGTGGCTATGGGAGAGCCTGCATAATTAGTGCCTAATTCATCCGAAATATTTGTGGGTTACATTTGAGCAGGAGAATGTGGGCAGCATCAAGCAAACGGATGGGTCAATACCAGTTCAGGGGAAGAGCTCCTTTCCCTCTGCCTCAGGACTTTGTTGGTGGTGGCAGGAACGGAACCAATGCACTGGAAAAATATCTGCTGTTCTGGTGCCTTCACTGCCTTCAGTTCATCCTTTTTTTTATCAAGTAAACATTTGCCAGCTTTTTTTTCTATTTTTAACAAGTTCTTTCAAGACTCTCAGGCCATCCAGGTGAATATTGCGACGTCTCAGAAAAATCCGTGTAACTTCTAACATTGTTTACATGGTAAATATTTGCACGGCACCACAAAGGCTTAATGTATATACTGCAAAAGTTGCCTTTTTTTTTTTTTTTTTTTTTTGCACAGACGTCAACTCTAGATGCTACATGGGTACCATATGTAGCCCATATTGATGTGGTAAGTATTTATTTTAACCAGAGTAATAAATAGTTGCATAAATCCCTATAATTGTCCAGAATGCAAGTTAAAGCTGCCTGCAGGCAGCTCTATTATCTTTCAAACTATTTGAGAAAGTTCCCTTTTTTAATGGACCTACTGTGCTATAGTCTTTTGAGCTCAGAATATCCTTTTCCACCTTTTTGGCATGCACACCCTTCAGGGCATAATGTTAGCTATTCGTGCACAGGGGAAAGGAGGCTTCAATGAATACCAAAACCACAGAATTAATTAGTTTTTAGTACAGTCTGAACTTTTTATGACTAAATTCCATAGAAACCTTAACACAGCATAATTCTTTATTGAACTGAGCCCTAAATTTAAGTAATGGTTTTACAAATCTTTTGGGAAATCATTTTTTGGTATCTCTAGTCACTCTTTAAAACTGCGTAACCCAGGATGGCTCCACAGAGATTTTATATGTTAGCAATACAAATTATATTTAAAGTATGAAAAGCGCTGAGCAGTTTTCCTGGATGCCAAAGCTTATTAGTATTTCAAATGAAATGTTTATATGGGTAGCTGTTTTGTATGTAAGCCTGCTGTGCATTTAAAAACTCTTCATATTAATTTTTCTAAAAGGGTTCCAAAACACAAGCATGTTCCAAAGGCGAGCTTTTTGTGGTCGCTATCTGTAATAAGTCTTTCATTTGCAAGCGTGTGAAATTCATTCTGCTTAAGAAAGACCATTAGAAGAGAAATGTTTTGCTACGTCCAGTGGACCTGTGTATCTTCTTCCAACTGGAAAGCATTCAACCTGTCAGCATGTGGGAACTCGGTATCTCCAGTTCCAGCACATCAGATTCTTTGCATTGTACAAGAGATTGGGTGCGCGAATATTACGTCTTTTCCTGCTAAAAGGGAAATTTCCTGGTAAAATGGTAAAGAACACAAATTTGTTGCTCCCCAGAAGAAGTTTTAGTGTTCAAACTCTTTCTGCGTTTTGTGCTGTATCATTTCTTTCCATTCAGATTTTGCAGCTCTAGAAACCTATGCACCAGCCCTAGAGAACAGCTCATTGTAAAAACTTTGCTTTTGCCCTGTGCTTTTATTCAAAAGTGCAAATGACTCCCAGGCTGCAGCCAAAAAAAAATAAAAATGGAGACCAGGTATTAGCAAAAGCGAAGGATAATGCTGCAAATCTCAGTTTATCCTTGCAGAATGCTTGTCCTGCTGTAGTATGTGTCCTGGCTTTCCACTTATGCTGACTTATCCAGATTCCTTAAGAGCCTTTCACTGTCATGGCTAATTTCACCTTACTGCTCTCTCCATGAGTGGGGATGGAAAGAAAAGCAAAGAAGTTATTGTTCCAGAGAGCAGCTGAGATTTCCACCAGAAAAGCTATCAAGCTGAAGAAAAATGCTGTTGAGAAGGGCTGTTTCCCACATCCACGTGCATAAGACCTTCCAAAAGTCCAAAAGTGGGGTAGCAAAGGGGCTTGGTTACTAGACCCAGGCAGAGTATGCGTTTCCCTCAGACCCTGTAACTAGAGATCGGTGGCTATTTTTGCCTGCTTATACCACACAGACAATATTCAAGGTGAAGATGTGTTTCCTATGTCTGCTGCATATCACATAACTTGCACCCAGTAAAAAAGCCCTAATGGACTGAGCCTGAAAAGTTGATTATTGCTTTATCACACGGGTGCCAGACGCAACTTTCAGCCTGCAGATCCTGCCACGCATTTCCACAGCTGCTGTTGCCCTACTACTAGCGACATGTTGCTGCTCTTCTTGCTCTGGTCCCTTGCCGGAGCCACATGGTGCAAGCTCAGCTGCCAAAGGGGCAATGAACAGAAGCTGCAGGCCAGCAGAAAACATGAAAGAAGGAGACGATGAAGATATAGCCAGCATTTGCTCTAGGACTTCAGAGACGTGCCACACGGAGATACTTTTCCACGGAACTGCAGCATCCTATTGAACTGCAAAACACCACCAGCGAGAGAGAGAGAAAAAAAGAAAATCACACATCACGGTTGGCGTAATTATGCAATTAAAAAAACCTCAGTGTAGGCACAAATGTGCTGCTCTTTGTTAGCTTGAGAGTGGTTTGAGGAGCCTTTGCAGGTAAAAAGCAGCAGGAAAACTGCTGGTGCCATGGGCCGTGTCTTCGGCAGGGGGCTCTGCTGGCAAAACTCTGCCCCGCCAGCTATGCTCGCCAGCGCAGACGTGCTCTAAGCTGCGAAACATGTTTCATAATTAAAAAGCAAGAAGCCAAGTGTATGTGCAATGCTCCCTTCACTGCTGCCGTCATTCGCTGGGCTACCCACACTATGGCTCAGAGGTTATAAAACGCTGGAGAGTTTGAGACGGCAGACAGAAACTTTGGCAAAACGAAACACCCAAGATCTGGAACAGACTAAAGTTAGCTTTGCTCGTTTGACCTTATTCTGCATCCGCGGGCACCCTCGCGCGCACGTCGCTCTCGTAGGAGGCTCCCTGCTCTCCGTGGCTGCCCTGCAGACGGACTTTGCACCCTGGGGGAGGAGGGGCTTCGGCAAGGAAGAAAGAAAGGAAAGTAAAATAGAGCCCTTGTTTGTTGACAGAGCTATTGTCAGAGCTGTTTTCATTACTCAGAGTGCAAGTGCCGGTAAGTTTAGGCTCCTTCTGCGATGCAATTGTTTTGGGCACTTTCCAGTACGGCTGAGCTAGCTAGCTAAATCTTGCTAGCTGCCCCCGAGCCGTGGTCCTGTCAGACCCTCCCTTGCAGCCAGAAATTTGACTGGGTGAAGTGGTGCATACGTGGTGTTATGCCACCAAGAGACCCCCTCTGCCTGCCCGCTGCCCTCCATTGCCTTGTGGTACACCTGCTGCACAAGTCTTGAAGGGGGCAGATGTGCTAAGCACAGTTAGGTGTCCGTTAAAGTTAAGATGCTCTTATGCAGCCTGTTTCCCTGTCTAACTCTCAATGCAAAGTCCAACAAGCGCATAAAATAATAGGTCCGTAAATAAAGACGTGTCTGTAAATAAAAAGCCTGGGAGCTGTTCTCAGTGCAGCCTGGGGAGGCTGTTTAGGCTAGTGGCTTTATCTGTGAAGCGATAGCTAAGGAAGAGTAGAGCCGTTTCAAAGTTGTTGTTATAAGACAGAGATAGGACTTGTCTGTTTGGCATGCAGCATGCACTCACTGAGAGTCTAGCTCTGAATGAGTCACCTGGGCCATTTTTTTTTCCTGCCTCTTTTTATTATTATTGTAATTCCTACAGGGGGATGGGGGGAAGGGCAAGTAGAGCCTATTGTGGCTCTGCGTTAGCAGGCATCGAGGAGGGTAGAAATCTCTCTAATTCTGCTAAATCAGAAAGCAACATTGCTGGTAAAGCACAAACATCCCTCGTGCTGACTTTTCAGGAAAACCAGCTCTGGTTTAGTGTTCTGTTGGGGCACCCGTATTACACCCGACACTACGGGAGCCGGGTGCCTTCCAAGGGTGCAGTAAGTGACTAGCTGCTGTCCACTTTTCTTCCCCATCTTCCGTCCCCTTGAAGAAAGTAAGTTATATATGAGACAGTCTGTGTGCTGCTTTAATTTGGAATGTGTTTAGGACTTTTCTTAGCAAGCGCAAGGTCAAAAGAAATATATTGCTTTCTGGAAGGGAAAAGGCTGAAACCTGAGGTGCTTAATATTCGATGGTGCTTTGGGCTAGCCCTGGGGAAAGTTGCTCCCTAAATATTGCCTTTGTAGTGCATGCGTCCCTGGTGGCCGAGAAGCGGTAGAGATGCTGATGAGCTTCCAGTGTTGCTGAAGGCTGTTCCCCCCACCCCATTTTCTTCCTTTCCTTCTTTGCACCCTCCCCCCGAGCGCTAACCTACATCGAAGGGTCTCTGCTGCACCTCTAAGTAATGAGCAGAATTGACTTGGAGCCCCATACCAGGTGACCGTAGGTCCTCTTGGACAGCTTTAGGGCAAAAAGAAGGTAGCAAAGAAAGTAGAGAGGGCAGTGACCTCATGTCTTTGCTATGAGCGGCAGGCCAGGGGCAGGAGGAGGCATGGCTGGAACAAACCCGGCCGCAGCAAACCTGACAGCGTTTTGGCAGGAAGAAGCACAAACTAGGGCAACTCGAGGTAGCGTTCTCAGATAACGTAAACCAAACGTTACAGGCGCTTACCTAGGACCTTCACACCAGTTAGTTTCTTGTGGGTGGGAGGGGTGCGAGCGGGCATGAAGGGAGGGAGCTGAAATAAGCAGGAGCAGCACGTCCCCTCCAGACTCCCCGCTGCACTCCAGGTGCCCGGCGCCGTTTGGAGCATCCTGAAGCACCGTCCCCGTCTCCCTGCTCTTCCCCACTGGGCTGGGCTCTCCAGCGCTGGAGGAGCCGGTGCAGAAGGCGCATGCTGGGGCCAGGACTGCCAGCTGGCATGTGCCAAAAAAAAAAAAAACCCAACCCAAAAGCAAAAAACAAAACAAAAAAACCCACTCTCAAACAAAACAAAACAAAACAAATCAAAACTACCCATACTATTGATGCTGACGATAAAAATTAGGACAAATCACAAGATGAGGTAGCTCTGGCCTCGCAATGTAGGCTCGCTGGCAGCAGTGTGGTAGCGGAGCTGTAATTTACCTCCTTGCGTTAGACCTAATCGCAGCGCACAGAAGAGTCTGGCCCAAGTCAGACAAGCCCAGGCCAGCGCGGCGCAGCGCGGCGCGGCTCAGCAGCAGCCTGTCCTGGTGAGTCCTGGCAAGATGTCACAGGAGGCCAGATTGCAGATGAGGAGGCACAGTCCCCTGTTGCTCTCAGCGGGAGGTAAGGAGCTAAAGCCCTTTCAGAAGTTGGCCCGTCGTGCCTGAATGCTGCTTTGGGAAGCCTAGCCCATGGCTCGGCTTGTGGGGCTTAACGTTATGGGAAAGGATTCCCTAAAACCTGCTCCCTGGTCAAAGCTCTAATTTCTTGCAGCTAGGGTGCAAACCTGCCACCCTGGAAAACATTAGCAGTAGCTGTGCCCTAGACTGCTACGCTGCACATAGACTGGTGCTATTAATACTTACTGAAATGGTGAACATTTCCCCTATAAATAACAATCCCAGCAACAAGAACCAATTTCTGTTCTTTAGAAATCAACCTTTCCCCAAGGCTGACCGGGGAGGCAAAAATCAGCATGCTCTTGTGTGCGTGCTGTAACTGCCGCGTGGGTAGATAGTTTTCCCTCCTGGCCTTCACCAAGCCCTATGACTGCGGTTCAACGCTGCGCGCGTGCCATGCAAGCAGCCAAAAAGTGCGATGCCACAAAACGGCAACACGTTGAGCGCAGATTTCCAGGCTGGAGCTCTGTAGCTTCTACAAGCCACTTCCCACTCGCATTTTGAACCCAAAGTTCGTGCCAAGAAACTGCGAGTGGATGTTATGCTGAGTTGTGCTCCTGCCAGGCTCAGGGACAAGGTTATCCTCTCCTCCCCAGCCGCTTTCTCTGGCAGGGCTGGCGCAGCCCGTTTCCACTGCCAAGCCCTGCCAGCTCCTGCCTCAGCTGCTCCAGGGGTAAAAGCAACTTGAAGTAGGCAGGGGAAACAACTGCTTTCTCCCTCTTTCTCTGAAATAGCTAAGCAAGACGAAGGAAAAGGCAAGGCGAGGGGACAGGATGAGGACAGAGAGAGGGACGAATCCCAAGTTCCCAAGCCAAGAGGAGCATCTTCTCTGTTTTTGGCAGAAAGAGTTAAGCTGGGGTTCCCCCCCCCACAACCTCCCTTTTATACCCTCTGAGTTTCTGTGCAGGAAATGTTTCTTTCTAGCGCTTGTCCGTCTCTGTGTTATCTTCTAGACGTGCTCACGCTGCCGTGCCGGGCTTTGGAGTGGAGGAAGGCATCCAGCTTTCCTGTGCAGGAAACCTTTTAATGACTTCCCTTATAGGCTACTCCTTCACTCAGGGCAAAGGCTTCCAGAGCAAAACAGGGATTGAAAAGGACAGGAGGTGGGATAGTGTGTGTGTAAGGAGGAAATCAAAAAAAGAAAAAAGAAAGAAGGAAAAAAAAAGCAAAAGATGAAAACTCAGTGAGAAAAAGTGGAGCTAGAAGCTCAGGAGGCAGAGTTATAGGAAGAGGTATATTTTCCACTCCTCTTCCACCTCCTGCTGCGACGTCGCACTGAGATTGGACCTGCTCCACTTCTGCTCCCACCACCAACAAGCTGGACTCAAAGTGTAGTTTCACGCGGCCCTAGAGAAACTTGCAAGAGACCAGGACGGTGTAGAGGAAATTATTTAATAGAGCATCTTAAATAACATGATAATACCAACATGTGAACAATTTACACCTGTCAAAGGTTGCACAGAATATCCTGCTGTGTGTTACCATATAGCCAGTGCATATGTTTGGAAAATAGAAACAAATATTGTCCCATTAGGTGCTTCAGTATATAATCCAGGTTTAGACTTTCTTTTTTAAGAAACAGTTTGACATTGAAACAGAGGTGCAAAAGCAACATGATATATAAACAAAACAGGTTTTAAATAAGTTCCTAAGCATGTTCTCTACTGAAAGCTATTTTTTCAAATTCAGTTTTACATCTATAAATACATAGTACAAAAATGCAAGTTTACAAGCCATTTCTCCCAACAGAGTTATGCCATTTGAAGTTTTAAGTAGCAACATTCCTCCAACATAGGATACATACATTTAAGAGCAATAATATTAAGTATTTACATATAAAGTTATGAAGTGTTTGAGGATATAAATTAGTAACAACATACAGACAAAAATACATTTACTGTGAAATAAATAATTCAACAGCTTTACATACGAGGGTGTCTATAATATTATACAAACATAATATACAAGAGTGTAGGACTTGATCTTGCAGTTGCTCATATCTGACTGTTACTCGAGCAGCTGAGTAATCACAGTGCAGTAAAAAAGCTACTTTATGGGGTTACTCATATGCTGAACGTCTACCACATAACTACCTTACTGAAACAGCTTCTAACTGAAAGCTCGATCAGGCCCCCCGGAAAGTGTGGTGTGAATGAATGTGTTCAGTTTTATTCTTGTGAACTGAGATATTGTTGGCATTCGGGGTCTCCTTTCAATTCTGGAGATCCAGGAATTCTTTTTCCATTTTTCGGATAGACACACCAGCATCCAGCAGACTCTCCATCCAGCGAAGTTTCACACTGGAATGATTAGGAAAACCAAACAGAACTCAGAATAAGCAACCGACAGCAGAAGATCAACTATGAAATACTACAAGTATGGATGTTTGGACAGAATTAGGATTAGAAACTGGGGAACTGCCACGCACAGACTTTTTTTGGAGTGCAACGCTCTCTCTTCTGACAAAAACCTCTAACCAGCATGCTTGGTTAGGGAGCCTTGACCCTAGCTGAACTCCCTCCCATAAGAGCAACTTCAGACTTAAAGCCGTTTGCCCACTCCTTGATAAACAGCAGAATAAAACAGTAATAGGTTCCACTGTGAGAAACTGAGGGAAGGCAAAATATACTGGCTAGCAGTGTGAGAGCAATGATTTCAGGGTCTGATTTCGCCGAGGGAAATAGGGTTCTTTGGGGGAAAGGAGGTTAAAGTGATTTCTGTATGTGCCTGGTTCGATCCCAGGTTGCAGCGTTTGTGAGTAATGCAGTGGTGGCATGTCCAACACAAAGGAGTCACGGTAACATGGATTTCTGCAGACCAACTCAAATTGCGTGCTTGGCCTGTGGTTGTAAGGGTGTGGGCGGAGGTTTGGAGCCGTCATTAAGTTTGCAGATTACTCTTAGTGTAACGTGAAATGGCTTCATTAGATGCCATAATGCCAAGCAGTATTATCAGCAATACAATCCATAGGCAGGACAAAGGAGTTTTTTTGCTCTGCTTTCAGAAGTCTAATCTTGCTCCGGAGATTTTTGCCACTGCCAGTGTATTTCACCCTGGGAGCTGGAGCCTCATATCTCACTGTGATATTACATATTTGGTGTACTTTGCAGGCAGTGCGGAGGATATTACAAATTAACAGTAACCAGGAATACACTGACAAAATAGGTGTACGATGCTTGATTTGGTCTGGGAACACACAGGGTTAAAATCTTTTGGCGAAGGCCTTGTGTGCACCTGTTCTGTGAATGAAAAAGACTCCTGCCTCCATTTCTGTCCATCTAGGACATGCGGCTCACTTTTAAGAGAAGAAGGACAAACCATCTGCTCCCACTGCTAAGTATCCCTAATTTCACAACCTGCTTTTCCAGCAGCTGCAGACTCGTGAGTTTGGGAGCCGCATGTTATGAAAGGGCTGGCTGTGACAGACCGGTAGCAAGCCTGGGGCGAGCAAATTGGGAAAAGGCACGTACCTGTTTGCTGTGGTAAAATCCATTCTTGTTGCAGTTGGGCAAATAGAATTTGTACATCTCCCCTCCGCTCCTTTGCTGGGCTTTAGCCAATTTATACAGGGCTCGGTAGAGCTCCTTCTGACAAGGTCCCTGGAGGAATACAATGCAAAGGTTGTCAATGCAGAAATCACAAAGAAAGCAGGCAAACAAAACGTGATCGGTATGAGGCCGACTGAGAGCTGAAAACACTTCTTAGTCATAAAATCTGCACGGGGCTGCCTTGCGTGTAGTTTCCACTTGCTTCAATAGCAGCACAGCTGGGAAACTCTGGCGTTGCACTTAGGCCTTTGTTTTTATTCTTTGAGGTATTTTCTGTCCTCAGAAACATGAGGATTTAAGTCCTTAAATTCCCACACAAGGAAATTTAACCTGTACTAAGTAAACACATTAGTGCTCGGAGGGTACAATCTCTCCTGTTATGGGGAGGTGCACGTTGGGAGGCTGGTGTACGTGAGGCTGGCCACGTTCGCCGGGTTGCCATGGCCCTGCGTTCTGTTGACGTATGGAGAATAGGTGCAAGACATATATAGCCGGTGCAAGAGCAAACATCTGAATGTTTGTTATCTTTTGCACGGGACGTGGCTGTCGCGGAAACAGAATGGGGAACGACTTTGCAGCTCTCAGACCCAAATCCGAATTGCCCAGACTGAGGAACGGAGGACTGTTTGCAAGGTGCCCTGTTTTCCCTACGTGCTTGCTTGTTTGCTTGCTTGCTTTTGTGGCGTTTTATAGTCATAGCTGTCATCTACTAACAGTGCCTGACATGTTTAAATGGGTGAAAGGAGAGTGGAAGTGACTTTACAAATATTTTTAGTTCAGAGTGAAAATTATCTGGCCCTCTGATTTTGCAAGACCTTCCCCTGTCAGGCCCTCACATAAGCAATCCTGTTCAAGTCAATGAGTTCACCTGTAGTTCTGGTTCAGAAAAGCAGAAGCCTTAAAAATCAGGATTGGAGCTAACAGGACTTACATCTAATAGCTGAAAACTAAGTCAGTGCTTAAGTTCTGTTCTGAATGTCAGCAGGCTTCCTAGCCTTTTTTTTTTTTTTTTCAATTTGACTCTGTGGCCATACAAAACTGGGCTTCTGTCCTGTTTAACTCCAGTTTAGCTCCGTGTCACAGGGCTGTGCTGGATGGCTGGAACGAGCCTAACTCTGGTTCTCTGGTGCCCTCAAGTGGAACTGGGACCTGCTTGCACGCTCCCCTCACCCCCATGTACCCACTGCAGCTTCGCAGGGCTGAAGGTAGAAGCTTATTTTAACCGCTGAGCTTCTGGCCTTTTCACATAGGCCTACTCACTCGTGCTGCACTGTGATCAGAAACAAGCACGTTGTAGTTTGGATGAAAGCGTCATCATCATTTACATATAGGGACGTCTTTCTGTTTCGCTGAGCGCTGGACCAGGCATAAATGCCTTTTATTTTCTAATTAAAACACTAAAGATGTCCAATATTGTAATACAGATTTCTGGAATGTAAGGGCCCATATTATAAGCTGATATTAATTGCAGAGCAAGATTCAGCCTCTGCAAGGAGTTTCTATGACTCCATAACTGATGCACATCTGCTTTTACAGCCACTTCCATTTTGCCTGGTCCTTAGGCATCTGATCGAGGCGTCTCAAAAGAAGAAGTCTGTTTGCTGGCTACCCGAAATATTGACATCTCAGGGCAGCTGATAAAGTGTCACGCACTTTTTCATTCGGAATTCTAACTCAATAGTATCTACTGAAATGCTGTTTGAAAGGCTTGCCAGAAAACCCACCTGCTCTCTCCATTTCTTGAGTTCAGCTATTCTCTTTGCTTTCATGTTTTCGTATGCAGTGATGGCGTTCCAGGGGATGGATTTGTCCTGGTCGATGGGAAACATCAACTGGTAGCTCAGCAGCTGATCCTGGGACATTTCCGTGCTTTCCAAAGTCACATCCTCAGATTCTACAGAGTCTGGAAAGGAATGACGGTGAGGTGGAAATGTGAGCTTTTGCCTTCACTTCCCCAAGGAAAAAAGAAGAAAAAAGGAAAAAAATCTATAAAAAAATAATGCTGTATCTAAGACAGACCAACTTTAGTAGCTCTTGCAAGAGTAATAATTTACATGGGTACCACATCAAATTAAAGTTCTGCAATATATTCATGTGAGGACACATCAGCTGTTTGCCAGTCAGCTGGTTATCTTATTACCCTCTGGAATCATCCAGATACCAAAGAGGAAGCTGAAGCCAGTCTGTCGGAAACAAAAGGTCTTCCTTGACTGCAGTAGGTAGAAGACGCTTTGCTAAATGAGGAAAGACCTGTAACAGGTCTGGATTCTTTTAATCCGAATGATGAGTTTTGGTTTCTATGGGGGGAAAGGAACTGGTCCAGACCCCATGCCACGGCGTCCTTTAGTTTGTGCTGCGGCTTGGCCGGGCTCGCGCGCAGCAAGGGGCAGTGGGCGCCGCTG